CTGGCGCAGAAACCTTTGTATTTAGTAGGCACCGTCCTTAAGACCTCTTATTTTCCGAAGTGTCTGTTATGTCACTTAAATTTTAGTCAGATTTCAATGTATGTCATGGAATCTGTCAAATTATTTGATTGTCTGTCCAGTCGTGTAATTATCTGCCTGATTACCGTGACATCCCATTTGATTTTGTTCGCTGCGAAATTTTTTTGTTGAATGGCTCGCATTCCGGAAATTGGACAAACCTCGGATTTTTCGAAAGCTTTACCATGAAATTTCCGCACCATTTGCGTTGTTTTGCCCCGTGTTGGCTAACGAGGACCCTGGTGAAGCTGACTGGGCTAGTCACCTGCCAGTGGATATTGCACGATTACAGAAACGGAAACAGTGCGAATGACGTCTACAACAGCTAGCCTGACTCCAGAATAGGCTTCTTCGGAGAACTGTATGACACTATCTGGTGCAAGCCCACGGCAAGCCAGACGGTTGACACCTCTTCTAACGTTGAAAGGATCGACTGGGATCGGAACATGGAATGTCCGCACCCTGTATGAGGTAGGAAAGGCCGCCCAAGTGGTAAGCAAGATCCGACAATACAACATCTCAGTGCTAGCCATCTGCGAAAGCAGATGGAATGGAGCAGGTCAGGTTACACTTGCAATTGGAGAGCGGTTACTCTACTCTGGGCATGAGGAAGAACAGCATGCACATGTGAAAGGAGTTGCATTAATGCTAAGCGAGTCAGCAGCAAAAGCCTTGATTGAATGCAATCCAGTCTCACCAAGAATTCTCATGGCAAGGTTTAACTCAAAGGGCAGAAAGGTCGCCATCATTAACTGTTATGCCCCAACCAACAACACAGCAGATGGCCAGAAAGAAGAGTTCTATGGTAGTCTCCAAGTTGTTCTAGATCACGCACCAAGGCGAGACATCAAAATTCTTCTGGGTGACTTCAATGCCAAGATTTGTCGTGATAACACTGGCAAGGAACGAGCCATGAGGCGGCAAGGGTCAGGCTGCATGAGGGAAAATGGAGAGAGAGCGGTGTACCGACTTAGTCATTGGTGGGAGCATTTTCCCCCACAATGCCATTCACAGGGCCACGTGGATCTGCCCGGATGGACCAACTTCAAACCAAGATATATAGACCATATCACGATTGCCTGGAAGTGGAGGACGAGCTTGATGGATGTGAGAGTAAAGAGAGGGACAGACGCTGCTTTTGATCACCATCTTCTGCTGGGGACCTTTAAAGTGAAACTTGTATGGGCAATCGTGTTTCATCTGCTTAGCCACATTGTAAATACAACATCTTAGACCTGAAGTGCAATGAAGGAGCGAAGTTGTTTAACTACAAAGTTAAGAACAAGTTCTCCGCCGTTGAATTTGTGGATGAAGACCTAAACAGTCATTGGGCAGGACTGAAAAAGACGTGGCAAGAGACAGGCGATGAAGTCTCTTAGGCAAAAGTGTCGGCAATCGGAAAGAATGGCTGTCCAAAGAAACCTAGTGTTTGATATAGTAGAGGAAAAGTCTTAAAGTGGAGATCAATGAGTGCAATGAGCAGGCCAGGAAGAGAGACTTATTATCGAAGCTCTGGCAATTAAACAGTGATGTAAGGAAGAGTGCCAGGAAGGACAAGAAGGAGTTCATAAATGCTCTCGCCACTGAAGCTGAAACGGCAGCAGGGCAGCGCAACATGAAAAGGTTACATGAAACGACCAGAACGATGTCAGGAAAGAGAAGCAAACAGACAAAACCAGTCAAGAACAAGGAAGGCTGGTACCGGAGTAGAAAGAGCGAGATGGGCAGAGCATTTCCGTGAGATCCTAAACAGACCATCTCCTCTGTTATGCCAAACATCAATGACACAGAAGGCCCCTGATAAATGTCGGCACCCACCCACAATCTAAGGCAGAGATTGTTACAGCCGTGAAACAGCCGAAGAGTGGAAAGGCGCCAGGACCAGATGGCATTCCGCCTGAGGCACTCAAAATCGATCCTACCACCACTGCAGATATGTTACATCCACTTTTTGTTAAAATCCGGCAAGCAGAGAAAATTCCAACAAAGTGGAAGCAAGGTTATTTGGTGAAGCTCCCCAAAAAGGCGGACCTAAGACTTGGCGCGAAATTATGCTTCTCTCGATCCCCAGCAGGGTATTCTGCCGCATTATTCTCGAAAAGACTGTTGGATGCCCTTGACAAACAACTACGATGTAACCAAGCAGGCTTTAGGAAAGACTAATCCTGCACTGACCATATTGCTACCTTAAGCATAATCGTCAAACAGTCCAATGAATGGTAGACAGCATTACGCATGAACTTTATTGATTTCGAAAACGCCTTTGACAGGGATGATAGGAACGTCATCTGGAAGTTTATGCACCACTATGGAATTCCATCAAAGTTAATTAAGTTGATCCAGGACCTTATCGGAGCCGAGGAGGATGTGAAGAGCAGATTAGGCAAAGCCAGAGTGGTCTTAAACAAGCTTACACCAGTCTGGAATGCCTCACCGACTTCTACTAAAACCAAATTGCGCATCTTCACTGCAAATGTTAAAGCTACGCTCCTGTATGGATCAGAGACCTGGAAAGTGACACAAGCTCTATTGAACAAGCGGCAAAGCTTTGCTAACAAATGTCCCAGAAAGATCCTCGAGATACAGTGGCAGGAAAAAAATACTAGCAAAGAACTTTGGAACTTTTACTTGTATCTTTCATTCCCTTGGTCTTATTTTGTTTTGCACGGAAAAGGCAGGGGAATAACTCGGAAACTGCAAGGTTCATTTATTCCCCTGGCACATATCTTTTCCCTAAGTTATTGTAAGTTATTGTATTTTTCTTTGAAAATGTGTATTAAGTGTCTAGAGTAAATACAGCATTGTTGTTGTTGTTGATGTTTGGAGCAGGACAGGACAAAAGCACGTACCAACTGAGATAGCAAGACGGAAATGGTCTTGCCGTAACCCACACGCTGCAAAAACGAGCCACTGACACGACTAAGCGGGCTTTGAAATGGACTCCGCAGGGAAAAAAGGAGGGAAGACCTGCTTAGACCTAGAGAAGGTCGACTGAAGAAGAGATGAAAATGGCTAACATCACCTGGAACACAGCTGAGAGATGGCACCAAACAGAGTCCTCTAGCAGAGCATTGTTGACGCCCTTTGCTCCATCAGGAGCCCAAAGGATTAATTCAGTCAGTGCCCCGTTTTGAACGCTCCAGAACTTTTGGTTCAATGGAGAGCACCCTTTTACTTGAGATATAACTTACTGTGGAGTACCGTAATACGACTAACACAAATTAAATGGAACAGTTCCTTGTAAATCAAACTGAAGAAACTGAGAAAATCTCTCTCAGTTCATTGGTCGCAAATTCATTGACAGAAATACACCACACATATATCGCAACACTGAAGAAAAATTGACAACGAAACCCCGGTCACAACTGAAAAAGAAATGTAGAAAAATCAAATATGTGTGATAACATGTCATTAACTATGCAAGGCGCCCTTGCTTTACCACGTTACTCACCGTGAACTGCGACTGACATCTTTCTTTCAGCTTAAGATCAACAGCAGTTGCTTCTTGTTGATTCTAAGAGTAATCAGTGAGCTGTTAGTTTTTTAAGTCTCCTGAGATAGATGTTAAGCAGCTAGTTAGCTCCTCAGATTTGCCACTCGGGGATGTGACTCTGGTAAAGTGTAAATAAAGCCATGTTTCGTTTTCCTTTTATTAGCTGCCTTCTTTGTATTTAATTAATGCAACAAATTTTAGAAAATTTAATCTTACATGACAATTGAAACATAAGGGATGTGTTGCAAATGGAGAAATGGGTACGTCAGAAAAAGGTGCGTCGTTCGCAAAAAAAAAAAAAATAGAAATACTCTTCTGGAAGATAAATGAGCACTGCCAACCTCGTTAGAACGACTAAATGTCTGACCCACTTACGAAAGCTAGATATATAGTGAAGATGAGGTTAAAGGGGGTTGCACTAATTCCAAGAATAGCTACGCCTTTCGCCATATGATAGGCATATGTGGCAGTTTGATAAACAGGACTTTTAAGAGGGTGTTTTCCTATGTCTCGGAATAATTCCTCCTCTCACCGTATGAGCATCACTTGGTAATGTTAAGGAAAAGTAAACAGGTAGTCGCGTCAATAATTCCAAAAACAATTGAAAAGCGGTCTCAAGGGCAAAACGCCAATAGAACCCTGTCGTAAAACGAAAATGAAAATCCCAGGCTTCCAGGTTTTCTTTCTCATCTCGAAATTCAAAGCCATTTTTACCCTTCGAAGAACAACTTGAAAAGATAGTGCTCTCTTCGCCAGGAACCGAATATTTCCTATTGGTCTCTGCAATGCTTAGGGTCGGTGATTCAAAACCATTGAATCAAAAGTATTCGTTCGTGCAAATCATTGGAGAGAAACTATTGTAGGCTACCTACCTCGTGTTAAATCCAAATTTGTCCAGTGCGCTTCTTTATCACTCTAAACTTGCAATAGAAATGGACTGAGAATTGCCAGATAACGTTGGTGCACTCGACAATGCTGGCCTTGAAGACAACAGTTCACAGATCCGATCTCAGTGGAGCACTGATACAGCATCCAGTTGTGACAGCTTTACAAAGTAGAAAACAGGAAGTTTAGACGGGGATCCCGCTTACTCCAAGAACAATGACTCCCTTCTACATACGCGTATATCGGGTAGACGTGGAATTCAAGGGCAATTGAAACTGAAACTCAAGGGTAAAGCCCCTGGACTGACGACTTTGTCAGTCAACGAGACTGAAATTGCCAGGGTCGGGGTATTTTCCCTTTTCTCGAAATTCAATATGATTTTTCTCTTTTGAAGAACAACAGACTCTGCTTTCCCAGAAACCGCATATATTTCATTAGTTGCCATTATTATTTTTCCCAAACAACTTACTGATATTGACTGAGAGACATTGAATCACAATGCCATATACCTGACTCGTGTCAAAACCAAATTTGTCAAATGTGCTTCTTTGCTACACTTAAGGCGTCACTTAAACTACGGGAGAAATGGTATTGCCAAACAAGGCTGAGTCATTCATCAAAATGCCGTCTTTGAGAAAAATCTCACTGCCTGGAGTGTGAAATACCCCCAGTTAATAAGAGAGCAAACTGAGTGAACAAGAATTTCGATAATTCCTAGAATATTGCTGCTTCCAATATTCACTCACCCTCAGTGAAAGAGGAAACTTTTCCAGGAATAAAGCTAGATATGTTTTCGATATGTTGCAAATGTTTGTTTTTCGTGGCTCCCGCGCAGGATATTTTTTCCTTGGTGTTTCTTCTGGAGGAATTTGTTTAGGGTAACTGCTGAACCCCCCTCACAGCCGCATCAAAATTATTTATATAATATGTCGAATTATTCTCACATTTTGATTGCTTCTTACGTTTGGAAAAAAAAGAAAACAAAAAATAGATTTCATGCTGCTGTGCGTCTGCTCAGTGATTGATCACGAAAGGATGGCGGCATTTCGGAAAATCAGCAATCCTTCGGTTTTTCGGAACTTTCCAAGAAAGTTCCTTGCAATTTGTCCGGGTTTCGAGAGTTCTGCAATATTTGGTCGAATGGGAAAAGTACCCAGTATTTCAGAACATTTGCATGCAGTGATTACACCGAGATAAGAGTTCAGTGAAAATACAGTGTGTTTTTGAGATATGTTGCCAATCGAAACTAAAACTAAGGAGAAAAACTGAGAAATAGACTCGTGATATCCAAATATCACACAGGTTTATGATATCCTTTGTTCAAATATTGAGTTTGAGAAAGCTTCATAAGGTAGTAAACAGGACGTTTAGAAAAAAGAGTTTTGCTTTACACTGTTACTCCTGGCACGACAGGCTACCATATTCCTAGAAAGACAGTTGTGTGTGCCAGGGACTCCAGCCCTCTCTCAGTCATCGAGAATAAATTAAAGTTCCACGGGGCAGAGTTCATCTTCCTTTTCTCGGAACTGAATTCTATAGTTTATATTGTCTGTCTTTTGACGAGCAACTTTGACGTGATGTGATGTCTCAGCCACCGAATATGTTCGGCCGTAATTAAAAGACCCCTTTTAAAAAAGTAATAGAAACCTCCGTCATTAAGTTTTGCAATTAAAGTGAAACGTTGCTACTCTAGAGATCCGACACATTGAAATCAGTACTTCATTTAATGCAAGGACTGTTCAGTCAGAAAAACTACAAAAAGAAATCTTTTGACTTACACGACAGCCTTCTTGAGCTGTCACTTTCATGTCACGCAACCCAAAAGCTGGAAAATTCAACAACACTCTATTGAAACTAAAACGTTAATCTAGAAAGATAGGTAATTTTTTATTATGGAATATGACAACATCACATGTAAACCGGCAATGTACCCTTACGCGAGCAATCCATTTTCATTTCGAAAAAAAACCGCGTAGAATGCCCGGCAAAGTCCACCTGAACTTCCTTCCCCAAATGCATTGAAACTCCGGCCCGATGTCCTGACTTACGGAAAGCAGCTTCAACAGAACTTTAATTAAGTAACGTGACTGGAGCCCTGTAAACCCATGCTTCCGGGATTTTAAAGCAAACCCTCGACAGTATTCGTATGTCAGCTCTGTAAAGCTGTCACTTTCAGGATAGGCGTATGAGCAAGGGATCTCTACGACAAAAAATCTCAAAATTCAGGCTACTGCCTCTTTACTCGCCGAAAATGAAGCGGCCATGATGTTAAACGCATTTACGGTATGCCCCTGCTCAATCATCTTGAATAAAGAATACGGTCCTTTCATTCAGTCACACTAACCATTGTATCCGCTATAAATTAAGGTGACCTTCAAAGGCCTTGAATCGGCAATACACGTTCGTGAATGGATAAAAAATAAACTACCCACCTATCTTGTGTTACAATCAAGCTTGTTGAATGTTCTTTGTCAAAACCCTTTAAGAGAGAAATGGAGATGTTAGAAAACACAAAAATATGAATGCTGTCCCTAAGGAATTCAGTGAAATGAGCAGTACCAACCTAAATGGAACGACCAATATCACTCAGTTAAGATTGCTAGAGTAAGGACGTTTTTATCGCATTTCTTTCATTCCAAGAATAGTTTGTCTTTCGCCATAGGCATCCGTGGCAGTTTGATAAACAGGAAGTTGGAGAGGGGGTTTTCCTGTTTCTCAGAATAATTCCTCCTCTTACCGTATGCATACGACCCGGGGATGTCAAGGGCAAAAACCCCGGTCTATTTCTCAACTTGAACTAGTCTGAAAAAGACCTTGCTGTACGGATTTATTACATGTAACCGAATATCTTTCGTTGTTTTTGTGATTTTAAGATTTATATTTCCATACGACCTACGTACAGCTCAAAGCAAATTGAGTCAACAATACTTTGTTCTTCCGTGCATAAGAGATAGAACTGATATAAGCGGCCTACCTACTTCGTGTTGAAATTAAAACCAAAGTGATATCTTGTTTGCAATGACCACGCTGTTTTCTAATACCTTGCGGGAGAAATGCATGGCTAGAAGACTGGGTAATTCCCTACAAATCGACCTCACATGCGAACGACCATAGATCCTAGAGTGCCTGCTCAAGTAAGAAACTGAAAGTTTAGAGGGGGTTAGCTTTATGCCTGGAACAGTTGCCCCTTTCACCAAGGGTGAATGAATATTGAAAGCAGCAATATTCTAGGAATTATCGAAGTTCCTGTTTACTTTGCAGCCTTGGTGTTTTACGCTCCAGGCATTGAGAATTTCGGAAAGACGGCATTTTGATGAATGACTCAGCCTTGTTTGGCAATACCATTTCTCCCGTAAATAATAAAAAGCAAAAAAGCTTATTTGACAAATTTGGTTTTGGCGCCAGTTGGGTGTATAGCATTGTGATTCAATGTCACTCAGTCAATATCAGTACGTTGTTTGGGAAAAATAATAATGGAAACTCATGAAAGGTATGCGGTTTCTGAGACAGCAGAGTCTGTTGTTCTTCAAAAGAGAAAAATTGTATTGAAATTCAAGAAAAGGGAAAATACCCCGACCCTGGCAATTTCAGTTTCATTGACTGACAGAGTCGTCAGTCCAGGGGCTTTACCCGGGCTTGAATTTCAGTTTCAATTGCCCTTGAAATCCACGTCTACCNCATTAGTTGCCATTATTATTTTTCCCAAACAACTTACTGATATTGACTGAGAGACATTGAATCACAATGCTATATACCTGACTCGTGTCAAAATCAAATTTGTCAAATACGCTTCTTTGCTACACTTAAGGCGTCACTTAAACTACGTGAGAAATGGTATTGTCTAGCAAGGCTGAGTCATTCATCAAAATGCCGTCTTTGAGAAAAATCTCACTGCCTGGAGCGTAAAATACCACCCAGTTAATAAGAGAGCAAACTGAGTAAACAAGAATTTAGATAATTCCTAGAATATTGCCGCTTCTAATATTCACTCACCCTCAGTGAAAGGGAAAACTTTTCCAGGAATAAAGCTAGATATGTTTTCGATATGTTTTCGATATGTTGCATATGTTTGTTTTTCGTGGCTCCCGCGCAGGATATTTTTTCCTTGGTTGTTCTTCTGGAGGAATTTGTTTAGGGTAATTGCTGAAACCCCTCACAGCCGCATCAAAATTATTTACATAATATCATTATGTCGAATTATTCTCACATTTTGATTGCTTCTTACGTTTGGAAAAAAAAACAAAAAAACAAATAGATTTCATGCTGCTGTTCGTCTGCTCAGTGATTGATCACAGAAGGATCGCATTTCGGAAAATCAACAATCCTCCGGTTTTTCGGAACTTTCTTAGAAAGTTCCTTGCAATTTGTACGGGTTTCGAGAGTTATGCAATATTTGGTCGAATGGGAAAAGTACCCAGTATTTCAGAACATTTGCATGCAGTGATTACACCGAGATAAGAGTTCAGTGAAAATACAACATGCAGCGGAGTTATTTTGACGAACTTGGAGGAAGTTTGATTAAACAGCGTGTCGAGTTTTTGAGATATGTTGCCAATCGAAACTAAAACTAAGGAGAAAAACTGAGAAGTACAATCGTGATATCCAAATATCACTCAGGTTTATGATTTCCTCTGTTTAAACATTGGGTTTGAGAAAGCTTCATAAGATAGTAAACAGGACGTTTAGGAAAGAGTTTTGCTTTATACTGTTACTCCTGGCACGACAGGCTATCATATTCTCAGAAAGACAGTTGTGTGTGCCAGGGACTCCAGCCCTCTCTCAGTCGTCGAGGATAAAGTTCCATGGAGGAGAGTTCATTTTCCTTTTCTCAGAACTGAATTCAATAGTTTATATTGTCTGTCTTTTGACGAGCAACTTTGACGTGATGTGATGTCTCAGCCACCGAATATGTTCGGCCGTAATTAAAAGACCCCTTTTAAAAAAGTAATAGAAACCTCCGTCATTAAGTTTTGCAATTAAAGTGAAACGTTGCTACTCTAGAGATCCGACACATTGAAATCAGTACTTCATTTAATGCAAGGACTGTTCAGTCAGAAAAACTACAAAAAGAAATCTTTTGACTTACACGACAGCCTTCTTGAGCTGTCACTTTCATGTCACGCAACCCAAAAGCTGGAAAATTCAACAACACTCTATTGAAACTAAAACGTTAATCTAGAAAGATAGGTAATTTTTTATTATGGAATATGACAACATCACATGTAAACCGGCAATGTACCCTTACGCGAGCAATCCATTTTCATTTCGAAAAAAAACCGCGTAGAATGCCCGGCAAAGTCCACCTGAACTTCCTTCCCCAAATGCATTGAAACTCCGGCCCGATGTCCTGACTTACGGAAAGCAGCTTCAACAGAACTTTAATTAAGTAACGTGACTGGAGCCCTGTAAACCCATGCTTCCGGGATTTTAAAGCAAACCCTCGACAGTATTCGTATGTCAGCTCTGTAAAGCTGTCACTTTCAGGATAGGCGTATGAGCAAGGGATCTCTACGACAAAAAATCTCAAAATTCAGGCTACTGCCTCTTTACTCGCCGAAAATGAAGCGGCCATGATGTTAAACGCATTTACGGTATGCCCCTGCTCAATCATCTTGAATAAAGAATACGGTCCTTTCATTCAGTCACACTAACCATTGTATCCGCTATAAATTAAGGTGACCTTCAAAGGCCTTGAATCGGCAATACACGTTCGTGAATGGATAAAAAATAAACTACCCACCTATCTTGTGTTACAATCAAGCTTGTTGAATGTTCTTTGTCAAAACCCTTTAAGAGAGAAATGGAGATGTTAGAAAACACAAAAATATGAATGCTGTCCCTAAGGAATTCAGTGAAATGAGCAGTACCAACCTAAATGGAACGACCAATATCACTCAGTTAAGATTGCTAGAGTAAGGACGTTTTTATCGCATTTCTTTCATTCCAAGAATAGTTTGTCTTTCGCCATAGGCATCCGTGGCAGTTTGATAAACAGGAAGTTGGAGAGGGGGTTTTCCTGTTTCTCAGAATAATTCCTCCTCTTACCGTATGCATACGACCCGGGGATGTCAAGGGCAAAAACCCCGGTCTATTTCTCAACTTGAACTAGTCTGAAAAAGACCTTGCTGTACGGATTTATTACATGTAACCGAATATCTTTCGTTGTTTTTGTGATTTTAAGATTTATATTTCCATACGACCTACGTACAGCTCAAAGCAAATTGAGTCAACAATACTTTGTTCTTCCGTGCATAAGAGATAGAACTGATATAAGCGGCCTACCTACTTCGTGTTGAAATTAAAACCAAAGTGATATCTTGTTTGCAATGACCACGCTGTTTTCTAATACCTTGCGGGAGAAATGCATGGCTAGAAGACTGGGTAATTCCCTACAAATCGACCTCACATGCGAACGACCATAGATCCTAGAGTGCCTGCTCAAGTAAGAAACTGAAAGTTTAGAGGGGGTTAGCTTTATGCCTGGAACAGTTGCCCCTTTCACCAAGGGTGAATGAATATTGAAAGCAGCAATATTCTAGGAATTATCGAAGTTCCTGTTTACTTTGCAGCCTTGGTGTTTTACGCTCCAGGCATTGAGAATTTCGGAAAGACGGCATTTTGATGAATGACTCAGCCTTGTTTGGCAATACCATTTCTCCCGTAAATAATAAAAAGCAAAAAAGCTTATTTGACAAATTTGGTTTTGGCGCCAGTTGGGTGTATAGCATTGTGATTCAATGTCACTCAGTCAATATCAGTACGTTGTTTGGGAAAAATAATAATGGAAACTCATGAAAGGTATGCGGTTTCTGAGACAGCAGAGTCTGTTGTTCTTCAAAAGAGAAAAATTGTATTGAAATTCAAGAAAAGGGAAAATACCCCGACCCTGGCAATTTCAGTTTCATTGACTGACAGAGTCGTCAGTCCAGGGGCTTTACCCGGGCTTGAATTTCAGTTTCAATTGCCCTTGAAATCCACGTCTACCCTACATACGCGTATGTATTGTTCTTGGATTAAGCGGGATCCCCCTCTTAACTTCCTGTTTTCTGCTTTATAAAGCTGTCGCAACTGGATGCTGTATCAGTGCTCCACTGAGATCGCTTCTGTGAACCGTTGTCTTCAACTGAAAACCAGAATTCTTGAGCGGTGCACCAACTTTGTCTGGCAACTCCCAGTCCATTTCTCCGGTAAGTTTAGTGTGATAAAAAAGCGCATTGGACAAATTTGGATTTAACACGAGGTAGGTAACTTACAATTATAGCACACCGTTTGTTTCAAAATTATTTTCTATCTGTCGATTGTCGTTTGGTTTAATCGCATAATCCCTACATTACAGTTGTTCTTGGAAGGATAAGAATGGCATTAAATTTCGAAGTGGATCTAAGCCTGGGATTTTCATTTTCGATTTATGACAGGTTTTTTTTTTGTTTTTTTGTTTTTTTGCGTTTTGCCTTAGAGATCGCTGTTCGTTTCTGCGAATTATTGAATCACCTCAGTATTGACCACCAGTTTACTAGCCCTGAACATTATCAAGTCGTACTCATAAGGTGAGAGGAGTAATTATTCTGAGAAACAGGGAAAAGCCCTCTTGAACTTTCTGTTTAACAACCTGCCACGCATGCCTATCATATGGCGAAAGACGTAGCTGTTCTTGAAATTGGTGCAACCCCCTTTAACCTTCTCTTCACTATATATCCAGCTGTCGAAAGTGGGTCAGACGTTTGGTCGTTCCATCGAGGTCAGTTGTGTTTATTTCTCCTCCAGGGCAGTATTTCTTATGTTTCGCGAACGACGCACTGTTTTCTGATGTACCCATTTCTCCTCAAGGTGCAGCAAAGAAGAACAGTCAATACAACAAACTTGGTTTGAACACGAGATAGGTGGTGGGTAGCTTCTATTCTTTCTGACATGTAAGATAAGCGCGAACGAGTTGACACTCATTCAATGTCTATAAATGTCACCAAAGTGTATAGGACAAGATTGTGAAAGGAAATCAAAGGAGGTTTAATATTCGGTTTAGCTCGGTTTGTATACGGTGAATCGTTGATTAAAAGACTCCTTTCAAGATAAAGAAGATTAGACCAGAGCCAAAATTCCAAGAAAGCGTTACAGTATTTGTTAAATATTTCATGAAACAAGGCGAGTTTCTGTCAATGGACGGTAGTTGAAAGATTCAAGTATACGTTGCTCTTTTTTTTGTTTGTTTGTTTGCTTGTTTCTATGAATTCGCGGCTAAAATTTTCTCTTGTTTTACTTGGGAAAAAACATGAAATGAATTCACGAAAATCAAAGTGATATTATTCAACTGATCTCCAATCAAAGATTTCCTAGAAGAATAGGAACACTCATTTGCATGCGCGATTCGTATAAACAAATATCTCTTTTTACAAATCTGTCGCCACATCCAGATGAAAGGTTATTTAATCGTTTCCTCGAAAGATGCAGACGTAAAGAAACAAATAAGGTTTGCTTTTTGTTTTCGTCGTGGGCAAAACTAAACTGCGTTTAGTTTATTTTGAATTAACATCCGGCGTGACGTGTGGAATTACCATTTTTCACGCATTCTATGTTAAACCACATTTTATGATTTTAAAACCTTTTCTAGAAGCTAACAGTAGTATTATACCTTACAACGTAGTCAGAGTTTCTTGTTCTTTTTCACATTTTATTCAAATGAAACTTTGTACTTTTCGAATTTTGCTTCACCTGACCTTCTGCACTTTTTTTGATATTAAAGAATACAGTCGAACCTCCGGTTGCCACCACCTCTCGTAAGCGACCACCTCTCCTCGGCGACCAGTTTTTCCGTCAAAATACCAAAAGTTTCCAAATCAAATCACTATATTTGAAACCTCTTATAAGCGACCATCTCGTAAGCGACCGCGACCGCGACCGCGTTTAGAGCTAAAAGTGTGAAATTTTTCTTTTGTTTTCAACCTCCCGTAAGCGTGCAATTGACACTGAGATACTGATAATAGAGTAGGAGTTGGATAATAAAAGGTGTTGTAACATCGCATTCCTGGGTAGTACAAGAGACGGAGATTTCTCAATGGGAAGTACCAGATTTTTTCTCAAAATTGACTTTTCACACGAATAAAACATTGAAAACAAGGGGTAAGTCTCTGCAGTTACCATATGCTAATGTGGCAGAATTGTGACCCAATATGGTCTAAGCTCTCGGAAGC